GATATTCCCATAGATCCAAAAAGGGGGTGTCCTGACCTTCATTCCTGAGGGGTCTGGGTCACAGGTCATTGAAGGCTTCGGGAGGGTGGGTCTTCCGTGCTGCTCTGGGGATTCTGTAGATCGTTTGCCCGACAGAAGGAATCCAGATCTGGACATGCAGCGGTCCCAACCCCAGGCTAGCCGCTCTGAAGCCTCCTTCTGCTGCATCAACACAAAGGTCTCTACCCGGGTCTCCAGGGGCCGACTCTGAGACACGGTGATCCCAGGTGTGTTTGGTAGCATTTTCAATGACTGGGGTGTTTTTGTTTTTAAATAGCTTGCCAGGCCTGTCTTCTGAAGCATCTCTGGGTGGACTAAAACCTCCAGCCTTTCACTTAGCAGCTGAGTACATTAACCCCTGGGACCACCACAGACACTCAACACTGCTTTCTCACCCTGCGGGCAGAGGTACAGAAAGTAGCCAGAGACAGCCCTGGGGGACAGCAAATGGTCATCCAGCTCAGGTTTTCATGAGCCCGGGCATGAGCAGGAATGACGCAGGGGTTCTGAATTCTACAAAGCGTTTTTCGTCAGTTCCTAACAGTTTCGGTCCCTACACTTTCTTATCTGCCTTCTTTGTCATTTCTAGATGTGGACCGATATTTCAGTACATGCTTCATGGATGCATGCGTGAGCTAGATTGCTACTTTCTATACCCCAGGGCGGTCTCTCGGCTGGAGACGGGGCCTGGGGCGACCTCCCGGGTTAGTGGCACATACAGATGTATACTCGGCAGTTCTCTTGCTCTTTTGCAGGCCCCGCCATCCCCGTGGGCGTGGATGTGCAGGTGGAGAGCCTGGACAGCATCTCCGAGGTGGACATGGTAAGCCGAGCCCTCGGCAGGGCACCTTCCAGGGAGCAGCCCCACGAACGAGCTCCCGTGGGAGCTTGGGGGCTGGGCGGGCCTTGTGCTCACAGGATGGGCAGAAGGAGCAGGAGGTGATACCGATGGGGCTTGGAAGCTGGCCCCGGAAAATCTAGAGCTGGGGTTCTCGAACTTCTCAGGTAAAAATAACTTGGGGAGTTTTGACTTGAAAATTCCTACCTGCCACTCCAGACCTCCTGACTCAGAATCTCTGGGCATGAGGGTCCGGGCGCTGTGTTTTGAACAGGAGTTAGAAAGCCAAGAGGGAAGATGCATATCTCAAAATTCAAGCCTCGAGTTACAATACTGCAGGATTCTATGGGGGAATGGGAACCGTGGTGGAGGGAGTAATGGGCTGCTTTGGGCTGCTACTGTCAAAGTCAGAAGTTTGAACCCATCAGCCACCTCTTGGAAGAAAGATGGTGCGGGCTTTCACCGCCTGTTGAGATTGTACAGTCTCGGAAACCCTCAGGGGCAGTTCTACTCTGTCCAACACGGTTGCTATGAGTCAGAATCAACTTGATGGCATGAGTGAGGGTGATGGGGGAAACTGTTGAATGACGCAGGAAGGATTGCACAGAATCATTATTACAAACAGAATGGGTTAATATTAACCCATTCCAGAGGCAGCATGAGCTGGAGGATCCAAGATGCCGGGAAGGATTCGCCAAAACCAGAGTGGCCCTTCCCCTGTGTGTGGTGGGGGAGTGCATGCCGCTGGCTGATGCACTGCAGCCAAGACAGGTCAGGGTCCGACCGTCACGGGGCATGATCTCCGTGTCTCCTCTCTCCTCTCTCCAGGGGCTCCCTCCGGCCACCGTCATCACGCACTCTTTCTATCCTTCCCTCACCAGCTCCCACCAGAGGAGTTTGCAGGCACCTTTTTACCCATTTACACCTGGTCTCTTCTCTCTGGTCGTGGCAAGGGTGCTCAACTCTTGGTGAAAGGAATCGATACGCTTTCTGGGTGATAAGCTTCCGCCTAAGTCCACTCATCCACTCACCCATCCAATCCTCCATCCTGCTGACATGTAGTGAGCACCGGCTGTACCTGGCCAGACCCTGCACTAAAGCTGGGGCCCCCTGGTGGGACAGACTCCGTTCTGTCTTCCGTGACCTTCTAGGTCTAATGGCAGAACCCCTCTTGGCGGGAGCGTGTGACCACTCAGCCTTCTGGAATGAAATTCACTGAGCCGAAAGCAGATGTTTATCCAGGGAGGTGCAGAAGAAACTGTCCAAGAGGGTTAGATGAGTAAGAGTAAGGTTTGTGGGCAAAATCCTACCATACTGGCTACCAGGCCAGACTGTTGACAGCCGTCGTGGTCCTTATCAAAGCCTCCAGGGCCGATTGCTCAGCCTCCTGATACACAGCAACAAAGAACTCTTTTCTGATGACAGCAACACCTTTGTCACGGCTTCAGAACTGTCGCCTCTGGCTATGGGGCATCACCCCATCGAGGACGTGGTAGATTCTAACAGGGGAGTCTTTCTAAGCACTCTCTCTTTCATCTCGCCGTGGCTCCTTAGGACTTCACCATGACCCTGTACCTGCGGCATTACTGGAGGGACGAGAGGCTGGCCTTCTCCAGCACCAGCAACAAGAGCATGACCTTCGACAGTCGGCTGATAAAGAAGATCTGGGTCCCTGACATCTTCTTCGTTCACTCCAAAAGGTCCTTCACCCACGACACGACCACGGACAACATCATGCTGAGGGTGTTCCCAGATGGTCACGTGCTGTACAGCATGAGGTACCTGTCTGGGGAATCACCATTTCTTTGTCCGATGCCCCTGCAGCATGTGTGGGTAGTCCCTCCACCCTGGAGAGTTGGTCCTTTGGATTGGTGTGTGGGCCACATGGAAAGATTGGAATCTTCTGATACCAGCTTCAGTAGGTGGGCTCTTCTCTTTCATTGGGGAACTTAAGCTTGAGTTCGATGACTGAGTACGTAGTCAGCTCTGAATATGTAAGAGAGATGATGCGTACCCACTCTCTGCCTTGCCAGGTAATAGGGACTAAACAGCGCTGTATTACTGCTGCAGATCACTGGCTGAGCTTGACATGGTCTTCTCTACATCTTCCTGGTCTACTTGCAGGCTTCTCGAAATCAAACACTAATTACAGACACTTGCTGGGCTTTGAAGGGCCCTGGTGGCATAGTGGGTTATCAGTTGGGTTTCTAATTCCAAGGACACAGTTCAAATAGCCCACTAGCTATTCTGCAGAGAAAGATGAGGTTTTCTGCTCCTGTAAAGATTTACCAGCTTGGAAACCATCAGGAGCAGTTCGCCTCTGTCGGAAGTCACTACATGTCGGAAATGACTCGATGGCAGAGAATTGTTGTTGTCACTGGCCTTGGGTAGAGGGTGAAGGTCAGGGTGAGTCTAAATCCTCCCAGGCATCAATGGGTCTCACCAGCTCATGGGCCAGACTTGCTGGAGGAGGGGGTGCCCAGGGCTGCTGTAGGACATCAGGCAAACCACCAAAAGCAGCTGCTACAGACAAGGGAAGCCAAAAAAGGAAGGTTCTATAACCTAGCTACCAGCTTCCAAACTTCTGAAGTAGACATGAGAAAGTGGCCACTCCTGGCTGTGTGCTGTGTTCTCCTGACTGAATAGATGTATGAGCCAATAGCCCCCTACACAAGCCAACCTGCCTGTTTGGGTTGTCTAGGATCACCGTGTCTGCCATGTGCAACATGGACTTCAGCCACTTCCCCCTGGACTCACAGACCTGCTCGCTGGAGCTGGAGAGCTGTAAGTATTCATGTTTATCACCACAACCCTCACCTTCTTCCCTCTCTGACCTTTGTGTTGTCATGACCACGAGCTAAATGCTGACCACGCCACAATACCGAACTGTTGACTGCCACAGGACTTCTCTGTATCTTTGTCCTGGTCAGAAGTTCCGGAGTCACATGAGCGTGTTTTCTGCCCGCAGATGCATACACAGATGAGGACCTGATGCTGCATTGGAAGAACGGGGACGAGTCGCTGAAGACGGATGAGGAGATCTCCCTGTCGCAGTTTCTGATCCAGAAGTTCCACACCACTTCCAGGCTGGCCTTCTACAGCAGCACCGGTAGCTAACCTTCCCCATGGTTTCACTCAAATGTGAACGAAATCACATTCGAAGTCCTCTCCAGCCTCCCAGGGAAAAGAAAATGCCATTATTGAAATAATGCAAAGTCCTTAAAAACATAACTGTTGAAAGGCACAACGTAAGGAGTGAAGCTGCTAGTCT